CTCGATCTTCTTCTCTCATTCCATGTAAGTGTTTGGATCATTTTTTACATGAAAAGGAGGAACTTTCAGATTCATGCCTCTCATGTCATCATCAACACGTTCCCTTGCTCCTCTTCCACGTCTTGGACCGGCTTGTGAAGAAGTATCATCACCAACATCATTTCTAGACTGTCTCTGCTGAACACAAACTCCATTGGCATTTCTTTCTTGATCTCTCCTCAGATTAGGCTCTCCTTGTAGTTGATTAATTCTTTGATGTAGTTCTTTTCCTTGCGTTTTCAACATTTGCTCTAACCAAGCCATCAAGGCTTCCATAAAGAGTTTGTTGTTATTGTTGTTGTTGTATCCTTGCTCTTCACTCAATGTGGCCCAGAAAAAAAAGCAGAAAAAAAACCAGTAACTAGTTCTCACAATATATCAAATGCAAAAAGTGACTCTTTGTGTACCACACGAAATCAAAAGCCCTAGAATTTGATCTGTTTATTTCTAAACAAAGACAGATATGGCGGATGATGAGATCTGATGATAGAAGTTAAATATACGCTTTAAATGTTATTCTCAACAAAATCTAGCGGATCACTTGACAAAAGGATTACCTAGGGACTTGGTGACCAAATCGGCTAAAGGGATGGGATTAAAGTCCATTTGAAATCTTTAATGATGGGATACCCAATTCCCCTCTAATACAACGTTAGAGGCTGAATTCAATGTGGAAAGCCTACATTTAAAGATTGAAGCACTAGTTTATATCATCCCAAAGTAAGTGCTTGGACCTCCAAGAAAGGGTTAGGATGAAGGTTTCAATTCTTCTTTATAGATCTTTTGAAAAAATTGCATTTGCAGGTGCAAGATTAAAAGTATCTACCTATATGAGTGTGAAGTGTTGCCGCTTCAAGAAGCTAGGACTTGGCTTTGTATACGCTCATGAATGGATAGGGACACATGGCTAATAATAGTGTCAAGTATAAACACTTAGAGTAGTGTGAAAATTCGTGTGTGTATTATCTTCATGTGCTCAAATGAGTTGAAAGGATTCAATCCATAGGACATCCTGATTCTCGGGCATTTGGAATCTGTAATATCACTAAAATGAAAATTCAATCGTCACGATATTTTCATTTATGCATGAATTTGGTATATGTGTTATTTATCTAGTGAATCTATGATTACACTTAATTGGGAGAGAAATGTTGGAGATTTAAGTGTTACAATTATTTTTAGTGAACCATTGCAACTCTTGATAAAATGGTTATTTTCCAAACATTGCAACTCTTGAGAATATGGTTATTCTCCAAAAATTTCAACTCTTGAGAATATGGTTATTCTCCAAACATTGCAACTCTTGAGAATATGGTTATTCTCCAAACATTGCAACTCTTGAGTTTTATGGTTATTTTAAACCATTGTAACTGTTGGGATTATGGTTATTTTGAACCATTTGCAACTATTCCTTGTATCCATGGAAACTCTATAAAAATTTGAGAAATCTTTGGAGAGGAAGAATAAGAAAGTTTTTGCAAACTATCACCAGAAAACAACATAATAACAAAGCACAGAAAAACTCTTTGTGTATCTCTTGTATCTTAGCCTAGAACAAGAGGAAAACTTTGATTGTCTTATCCTACAAGGGATTTCGTGTAACCCAAGGCTTTGATAAGGGTCAAAATACCCTTTAAGGAAAGTGCTTCGTACACGATTCAATCATTATCCAAGTTCACAATTTATCAAGTTCAGGGTTCAACCACAACATTTAAATGATTGCAAACTAAACAGAATGATAACAGATGATTTTCGAGACACAAAATGTGAGGAACACTTAGATCTATGCAAAAATGATGCAAACTAAACAGAAGATGAACAAATGCAGACACGAATTTAAGAAGATGAAAAGAGGAGAAAGGATAGAGACTACCAAAGAAGCTTCTAAGTGTGTTCTAATACCACTTGATGTGATCCTCCCAAGGATCAGCACTCAAAAGCTTGTAAGAGATTGATCAGAGACAGAAGTTTGCGGAATAGACTTCTGTTTGAAGAGATGAATAGGTTGTTGTTCAGAGTTAAGTTAATCACAAGAGAAAGAAGAGAGATGATAAAGATGTTGCACAAGCAGTGAATCACTCTCAAGAGAAGACAAAGATCGGTTGAGAAGAGAGATGATAAAGATGCTGCTCAAACAGAAATCACTCTCAAGAGATTAGAGAATTTCGACCAGTTTTGATAAGAAAATAGTTTATTGGATAAAAGTTTGATGATCCAATCTAGGATGAGTTTCGTAAGAGATTACAAGCTTATTTAAAGAGAAAAGATGAGTAAAACCTAGTCAAACTCAAAAATTACAAGAAAATAAATGAAAATGTTGAATAACTCTTCAAGTAACCTTCTCCTAGCCTCTTTGGCCGAATTTTGGTTGGCTGGACTTGAAAAATTCATCAGCAAACTTGAGCTTGTGATTATCATTGCCTCCTTAAAAATCTTCCTTTGGAAAAAACATTGGGATAAAACCAAAGATAAGAAAAAAAAGTACAACTGGTGCACTTAGCCATTTGTTGAACTTCTTGGGCCTGAACCAAAACCAGAGAGGTTTGTAATTCATCTTCTTTAACCTGGCCCAAGAGACCTCTACACTCATATATTTGGACAACTAAACCTCCAATTATTCCTTTGAGCTTCTTGGCTTTGTTTCTGGTCATAGGTTTGTAGGAACAAGCAATATCTTCTTGTCTTCATGCTCATCCACAAGTACAAGCTCAGCTGCTAGCTTTGGTTCAAGCTCCTCTTCTTTGGTGTTTCTCAGGATCACATCATGTGTTATGTTCAATCTATGTGTATACACGTGTTTCCCCCGCAATAAGCATTCATTTAGAATAGTTAGTTAATTTTTAGTATATCAATTTCTAAGACAAGTTGCAGCCGTTTTGAATAACTTTCTCTCCTCTTCTCTTTTGTTTGTGTTGGATTTGACCTAAATCCGGTCCATAAACAATAAACCAATAACTTCACCGAAATGGATATGGGCCTTCCAGGTTCATATCATCGATAAGAGCCTGCACCTTCAATGAATGTTATCCGAGCTGGATTCGCACAACATATCTGAACTGTGGAATCGGTCAGAGGAGATTGATGAAGATCGCGGAGATCTCGGAGTTGGGAACAATGTATCATTGTGAAGGTCATGGAGTTGGTCAACAAAAATGGAGATTACATAAAAGAGGCCACACCTTTAGAAAATATATATATTATTCATTTTAGATTTTGTACGCTCTACAAGCTCTCTAAATACCCTGTAAACACTTGATTTTATCAGAACAAATTCAGTTCATCAAATCCTGTCACAATTACTTCATGTAACTCCATCGTGGTTCTTGCCCACCTTTTCTCCAAACACAGAATTACTCTAAATTCTTGAGTGTGGATTTTAGGATCCACATCTCTCTAAAATTATCCTCTGCCTTTCTCTGCTTAGATCCTCTTTTCTGGCTGATGTTCTGCCTTTCTCCACTTAGATCCTCTTTTCTGGCTGATGTTTGTGAGCTTTTGAGATGTCGGTTTGGTTTGTGTATTTTTGCTTGTTTTTTTCTTTTGTGTGCTTCTCGGTGCATGTGTATCTACCCTTATAGGGTATACTCTCTCTTCTCGTGAGGTTACTTATGTTATGATAACTCATGGTGCTAAATATTCAAGAGATGTTGCAGATCTGAGAAATTAAAAGGTTGTGGTTAAGTAGCGATTGTTTTGGCTGATGTATAACTTACCCTATGCTTTAAGATAAAAAAAAAAACATTGTCACTCTTACTTCAGAGGTATAAGCCTCAGTTTTTTTTTAGGTCTTCACCGAGCTTTTTGTTGCCTGGGTAAACAATATTGGATATGCTTGTTTTTTTTTTTATCTCCACCCAACTATTACATCACATGTGACTAATCAGAAGAATGGTCTGCGAATCATTTTCGACCAGCTCAATATAATTGATTTGAAAAAAAAAAATCTTTTTGCTTAAACTCTTTTTGCAAAACTATCTGAATGGACATTTAAACTTTTGGGGATATGAGATACCAAGTGAATTCCGAATAGCATTCTCATAGGATACGAAAGCATTCCAACTATGTCATAAAGATTGACCATATTAGATATCTTAGTAAGAATTATTATTATTAGTTTTTACTATAATGTTTGTCTTTAAATTTTTTTTTCTGTAAAAATTTAATTATTACTAAAAAAATATAAAAAATAGAATTCAAAAGAAAACATAAAAAAGATTTTATCAATTAAATTTAGTTAGCAATTACTTATATATAAATTTATAAAGTTTTTTGAATAATTCTGGAAAAAGAGAAATTAAATGTATTAATATTGATAATTTTTTGTTAAAAGTTTTTCTCACAAAACTTTTAGAATTCATGATAAAAAATTAGTTTTTAAAACTTTAAAATTAATAAAAAAATATGTTTGGCAAAAAAAAATCTTAAAACTGTAAAATAGTTATAAACTCTCTACACCAGATTTATTGTCTTCTCGGTTAATAGCTCAACAAAATTATTAAATAACAGGAATTAAATTAAATATTCTCTACTGAAATTACTTGTTATTCTGAATCTCAACCAAACTTAAAGTGTTATAAAATCAAATCAAACTAATGACATTAATCAAAAATTAATTAAAAATAACAATTTAAGTAAATATATAGAAACTACATTTTAAAAATACTAAAAGTGTGCATATTGATTAAAATTAATTAGTTATCATTTTGTTATAAACTTGTTTTTTTTGTCCAAAGCTGAATCAAACTAGAGCCAAACTAAATTTCTTAATACTAAACAAAACCGATATAAAACTCAAAACTCGAATATTGGTTTCACATAAAAATTCTAGTATTCGAAACAGTAATAAGCATTTGTTGCATAGTTTTTTTCAAAAACGTTTGTTAATAAACCAGAACCGGAAACAGTTAATAACCGGTTTTATTTGTTAGGCTGGGTAAGTATAACTTTGTCATAATGGGGCTTCACAATACACGCACGAGCATACACGTGTGGAAGAAGACAAGGACAGGTGAGGTTTATGGGACCCGCAAGAACAGTAAGACTACGTGAGTCCAAGCCACGAGGCATCGTGGTCTGTAAACGGCTCACTTTCTGACATGTGGGATCCACATTTTAACCCACTATCTCGATCCCTTCAAAATTTAGCAAAAATCAATGGCTATTATTTTGCTAAATTTCGTAGCTCGTCAGGAATTTTTGAATATTTACAACTAAATTTGTTTTCTCGGAATTTGAAAACGCGTTGTCGAATAAAGCTTTGAATAGGATATGGGAAGAAGACAGATCATTTGTTAAAAATGGTGAACTATATTTATGTTAGCATTCATGATATAAAAATGTCAATTAAAAATAATTTTATTTTAATATTAAACCGTATGCAGATCATTTACTGTAGACAAAAAAGAACATATATGGACTGCACCATTTTCCCATCAAGTTGCCCAGTTCTGCATCTTTTTTCTCTATTTACTTTTTTATTTATTTCCAAATTTATTGTAAGTAAGTCACTTTCTTCTAGGTATATTTCTTATTTGATTTTTTTTTGTCAGTTGCAGAGTTTAAATAGATATTAGTCATAAAATACAATGTATGAATGTATGATTTAATATGCATGTCAACTAGTTTTTAAAAAATCTTTTAATTATTTTCTTTGTAAACACAAAAAATGATTCAAGATTTTTACTATAGATATATATATATATTCATTAATACTTGTTTAGAAAAAAATAATTCTTATTTTATAATATAGATATTCATAAAAATTATTATAATAAATTCATACATTTGTTTATTTTTTATTTTTATGACAATTATTATATATTTTTTTTTTCTTAATTGTTGATGAAAATTGTTATAAATATATATATTTGTTCTAGGTACATACTTAAATACATGCATGTGGTTCTTATATTGTTGTAGTTAGATTTTTTTTAAAAAACAATTTTCAGGTTTTTTTACAAACAAAATCATTAATACTTATTTTGAAAAAATAATAATTGGTATATGTAGACATACTTTTTTTTTATTTGTGATATTTTGTATTTTTTGTATAGTTTTTATATTGTTATATTATTTAACTAAATATTCTAAATTATAAAATTTATATGATCTGTATTTGTTCTATCTGATCTATATGATTTACAATTGTTCTGCTTGTGTAATTTGTAATTTTTTATCTGCATCCCCATTGGCTGTAGTTATAGGCTGATTTTGTGATTGTGTTTGACTTTGGATAAGTCTGTAAATACGAGTTGCAATTAACAAAGTATTTGTCGAATGAATAAAGAGATAAATATGTAGCTCTCTACTTTATTTTAACCAGCAATTAGATAGGAAAACAGAGTATTTTTATGGTCCGAATGAAAAACAGAATTCTATGTTTTGAATTACTGAAAATACGTACTCAGCTCCATACACTTTTTTAGAATCTAAAAACAAATGCAAAAACTTATATTTTACTTTAGAAATATTAATAAAAAATTAGAGAGTTAAAAATTAGAAAGTTAAACAGATAAATACTCATATACTTATATAATTAAGAAAATAAAAAACAATATTATATTTATATTATAAAAGAATTTATTAAAAAATATATTTTTCTTTTGAGTGCTGGTAATTAAACCATTTCTAATACTAACTGCCGCCGCCACTGGTGAACCATATAACCACCAACGAGAAAATGACCTCTCTCCTCCACCTCTGCTTTTTCCTAACCCTCCTATGTTTGACATAGCTTCTATTTTTACCAAGTTGGATCTTAAAGCGGGTACCATCAAATCCGTATTCGACCTGATGATGAGTGGAAGACTGCGTTCAAAATGCGTGAAGGTCTTTTTGAATGGCTGGTGATGCCCTTCTATTATCTAATGCCCTTAACACGTTCATGAGAATTATGAATCAGGCATTACGTCCATTTATTGGAAGGTGTGTTGTTGTTTACTTCGACGACATTCTGATCTACAGTTCTTCGTTACGAGATGTGTGTGTTACGACATTCTGATCTACATTTATTGGAAGGTGTGTGTTGTTGTTGTTGTTGTTTCTCATTTACGAGATGTTTTGTTGGTTCTGCGGTATGAGAAATAGTTTGGGGCTGCGAAAAAATGTGAGTTTGCTGCTTCACAGGTATTGTTCTTGGGGTATGTGGTGTCTCAAAGCGGCTTGCACGTGGATCCGACAAAGATTTCAGCATTTCGATCTTGGCCAGCTCGAAAATCTACACTGAGGTTCGAAGTTTTCATGGTTTGGCTTCTTTTTATCGCTGTTTTGTTGCCCACTTTAGCAGCATTATGTCTCCTCTCACCGATTGTATGTAGTTTTCATCTTTTACATGGACACCAGAAGCTAATTGAGCCTTTGAGGACATCAAATTCAAGCTTACAACAGCTCCTGTTCTGGCTTTACCGAATTTTGCATTACCTTCCAAGACAGGTATAGGCACTTTTTGAGTCAACAAGGGCGTCTGATAGCATATTTCAGTAAAAGATGTTGTTTACCGACTATGACGCATTGAAGCATATGGGTTCACAAGATAAGGTATCCTTTATTGAAGCATATGGGTTCACAAGATAAGGTATCCTCTCGTCACACATCTTGGTTCACATATTTGCAGCAGTTCACTTTCGTGATCAAACATAACGCGGGTTCATTGAACAAAGTGGCTGATGCGTTGAGTTGTCGTAATAATTTGTTGGCTTTCCTGCATGTTTCGACCATCAGTTTTTCCATTCTTCTGGAGCTTTACCCGGGTGATCCCTTCTTTGCGTGTTGGATGGTTTTTTGTTTTGTGGCACCAGACTTTGTATTCCCAAAGGAAGACTTTGCTTATAGATCTTCACTAAACTCCATACGGAGGGACACATTGGCAGTGATCAAACATTATAGCTGGTTACTACGTCATATTTTTGGCCTACCATACGTCGCGATGTTGAGCGTTTTGTTCTTCAGTGCACCGTTTGTCAGAAAAGCAAGGGACATGTGACTAATGCAGACATTTACCTTCCTTTGCCGATACCGACACAACTTTGGACCGACATTAGCATGGACTTTGTTGTTGGTTTGCCGCGTACACAACCTGGTCATGATTCTATCTTTGTGGTCGTGGATCGGTTCTCGAAGATGGCGCATTTTTTGGTTTGTAAGAAAACAACAAATGTTTCCCATGTGGTGTCTTTGTTCTTTCGCGACATTTACAAGTTACATGGTTTACCCTTTCTATTGATCCTGATTCGCATTTCCTCGGGCACTTCTGGCGATCCTTGTGGAAACTCTTCCGTACTAGTTTGGATATGAGCTTCATGTATCACCCTCAAACGGATGGTCAAACGGACGTTACAAACAGAGCGTTGGGTGATCTTTTATGGTGCTTGGTTGGTGATCACATTCGATCATGGGATACTTTTCTGTGTCAGGCATAGTTTGCCCATAATCACGCTGTTAATCGCAGTACGAGGTTCAGTCCATTTTGTGTCGTCTATGGTATGATCCCGTGTAGCCCTCTTGATTTGTCTGTAGCTCTGGATTGTATGTGGTTGCATGGTCGAGCATATGATATTGTTGACGAGTTTGTTCAGCTTCAAGAACAAGTGCAGTCGAATTTAGAAGGGCAACAGCTAAGTACAAGATGGATGTTGATGCAAAGCATCATGATCTTTAACTCAAAGTTGGCGATAAGGTTTGGGCTGTCTTGACAAAAGACAGGTTTCCTTCTGGTACTTATAAGAAGTTGATAGCTCGCAAGATTGGTCCTTTGTAAATTCTCTAGAATATTAACAAACAATGCATATCGTTTGAAGCTTCCTACGGACATGCGTATGACCGACGTCTTCAATGTGAAGCACTTGGTACCATTTGTGAATTCAGATATTATTGCAAATTTGGGGACAAATTTTCTTTACCCCGGGTGATCTGATGTAGCGTTGACTATTACTTATAGGATCTTGGTGTTGGGTTTTACGTATATATTTTCTTATTCTTTTCTTTCATATTTTACAATTAAGAGTTTAGGGTTTTTATTGTTTTTTGTTTTTTTTATTAATAAAAGAGAACGTCTTCTCTATGCAAGTCTTCGATACTCTAGTTCTCTCAAGAAGAAAGTTTGAGTTCTAAGCAACAAGCAATTAATCGGAATCCATTGATCTCCGAGACTCTCTTGTTTACCCCGCTGCAACAGGATGGAAGAATAACCATCCACAACCTTACCAAGAATGTGTTTCTATTCTATGTCCCTTCCCCTTTCCTCAGATGCCGTATTTTCCTCCATGAGTTGTGGCGTGTAGGAAATGCCCCGCTTTTTGTTACCGATTAAAAGGCCGAATTCAGTTTTAACTCTCCATGGCTTGAACAAGCTCTGGTATGGGCTTCTATTAAGGGTATCCCATTTTATTTGGTCACAAACGATGGCCTTAGTTTTATTACTCGTCCTCTAGAGAAGGTGGTTGATGTGAAACCTTTTACAAGTATCAAATCTGCAGAAGTAAAAGTTATTGTGGATCTTACCAAACCACTGCCAAAGGAGTTAGAGCTAGAACGAGAGGATGGTGGAATTGATATTATCCGTGTTATCTACCCATGGCTTCCACCTTTTTTTCCTAATTGCAATGAGTTTGTCACAGCCCTTCTCTTTGTCTCCCTTCTTCAAAATCATCTTCTCAGGAAAAAAATAGGAGTTTGAAGGATGACAGATGATGGGCTTGCGGGCCTAGGGTTGTTTTTTAAAAGCCTGTTGGTCCTCCAAAAGTTTTAAATTTATAAAACCCTAGTGTCTGCAAGTGCACAGATGTACGTTGTAGGACTTAGGGTGTCGATCCACAGGGAGGATGTCTAATCTGCGAGAAACAACAAACTGGGAAGTAAGCAAAGTCATGAACCAATAAAAGTTTTGGGGTTTTTGGTTAAGATTCTAAACTAAACCTAATCTAATATTCACATGAAATAAGATGCAATGCATGATGAATTGTTAAAAGAACATCTAAAGCATATCGACCCAAACAAAAGACTCTTAAACTTATAGGTGGCGACTTAAACTTCTCCGGTTTACTCTAATTGATGTATGATGGCATTTCCAATTAGTTTTCGGGCAATTTATCTTCATCTGTTTCTGGGAATCTGCATGGAACTAGAATAGACATATGTATGATTAACCAACTCTCGTCACCTTAATCAACTAATCACTTAGATCTAGCAATTAACTCTCGCTCTCATGCTAAACTTAAGATCATGCATTAGACATTGAATTTGCCTGCTCACATCTTCTCTATGGGTAGCTTTCGACTCCTATAGCGACTATGTTCTTCTGAAGCTAGGTACGGATGATCTGATACAGCACTCTCGTGGCTCTGATCGATCCTAGGCTCAGAGAATAGGTCATGAATCTACTCTCATGCTTTATGAACAACTTAGAAGAGATGAGATCCAGAATATGGTCTTGAACAATAGAAATCCTAATCGATATATATGCTTGTCGATATCTTCAAACAACTTGACTCTCTGGGACTAATCTACATGATGCAAAAAATGATAAAAGACATAGAAGAATGCAAAAGAATGAAACAGAAAAGTTAATAATATAAAAAAGGAGAAAGAACAATGGATCTGGGGAAGAATCTCCATCTCCATGGCCTAACCCTAGAAAACAAAGTTTGGTGGCTCAAAATCTCATTCCAGGAGCACACACCCGTTTAGGACTGCTAAGAAATGTATTTATAGGTCCTAAAGTCTTCCAGGTCTCATTTAGGACTTCTCTGAAGAGGAATGGCAAAGTGGGCTTTGATGTTGGGCCTTGTGAATCGTCCTAAGGTCCACCGGGGGTGAGAGTCTTCCAGGGCAGGTAAAACATGTGTTTCCTGCGTGTGAGAGTCTTCCAGGAACTGGTGAATTGGGTCAACTTGTTCTCCATGTATCTTTTGATTGCACCGTTGGATCTTTGTGATATAAAATGCTATGGAAATCTGGTTGTCTTCTCTTGATTTTCTCCAATTTGAGTTGGATCAGACGGTGAGAAAGTCTTCATTTGAGTCTGAACTTCTGACGATCTGACTCTGAGCTGAAAAAGTGGATTTCTTCTATTTTGCCATCATATTCCCTAAGTTTCCAGAAAAAGAGTCTTGAAACTAAAAATACATGAAAATCATAATAAAAGTTCCTAAAACTGATTAAAACCTTTGAAAAAGCATTTGAATTCAATGGTGAAAATTTGTCAAAATCAGATGTTATCAACTCCCCCAGACTTAAGACTTTGTTTGTCCTCAAACAAAACAAGATCAAATCTGGAAAAATATCATTCAACAGAAGTGAGAAAGAACTAAAAAAATCAGCAACCATACTTCTAGACCTTAAATATGGACAGTGCATCAATCAAATCAAGTCTAGAAAATTCTCACCAAAATACAAACATAACTAGTCCGTTAATCCGTCATGCGAAAATCCATACACTTAGAACTAACTTCCAGTCAACTAGCTCTTAACATTCATTAAAAGTTTCAGTGATTCTTATCAAAAGGATATTAAACAAGGCTTTCAAGGTTAGGTATCAAAAGGCTTTTTAATGGTAAAGCTTGATGTGTTTAGGATTACCTTTTTCTGGAGAGACATGACATTATGCAAAACAACAAGAGAGGATGGAACTGTAAATTCCTCCACAGTTTCAGTCACATTCTCCTTGCTTCAAGATTTCTGATCTCCTTTCTTCAGGTTCTCCTTATAGTTCCCCTAGACTTGGATTTTTGTCCAGGCTGTGAATCCATAACTCCTTAAGTGAATATCTAATGTCTTAGCTCAAGTGATTTCGGCTTCTAAGACTCCTTTCCTTTCTTTCTTTTTCTCTTTTTTCGTTTTTTTTGTTTTTTTGTTTTTTTTTGGGAAAAGGGAAAATGTTTTTTTACTTAGAGTCTTAGGGAGCACAAAATTTACCTTAAAGAATGAGTTTTTCTGAGGCATCATAAGATTTCTGGCACACTCCCTTATGGTGTCTTTCAGTCTTTCTGTTGAGTGACTGAAAACTATGTTGTTCCTCCCTGTCCGGCGTTTTTGCACATATCTGTCAATATAAACTTAAGAGAGAATGCATGAGGTTTGAATATGAAGGTTTGGGTTAAGGATGTGGTACCAGCTAAAGATGAACTGGCCATCTAGGACAACAAAGAGTGGTAACAATAAGGTAAAGATGTCCTAGATGTATATCATGATGCCTTTTTAAAACCATTGATGAGAAAATTAGATATCAAGATTAAATCCAAGTAAAATGAGCTAGTATATCCTGTCAGAAAAGATCTTCATGAATAGAAGTCCTCTGGTGGGATTTCGTAGCGTAAGTACTCTAGCTACCGCCTAGTCTAGTATTAAACCTTGAAAGAGCTTTCATGAGTGATTGGTGTAGAAGAAAACAGGTTGGTTATCATCATCGATTTTATCATTATTCCCTCAAAATGTATTTGACCTTTGAAAAGACTTTTTGAAACTCAAAAGACTTTTAAAAAGTTTTAAGAAAAACAGAAAAAAATCAAAAAATTTTAAAGAAAAATGCAGAATGTAAAGGCTCATGCAAGAAAAGGTGGTTAGAAAGAGATGAAATCCTCCCCCAGACTTAAATCACACTGTCCCAGTGTGAAATAAATCAGGCAAGGATGAGAAATAGAGTATGTGAAAAAATTTAGAAAGATTAAAGGAAAAAAAAAACTTACATGGTGTTGGTGATGGATTGTGAGGTGGTTGTGGTGGTGGTAGGATGTTGAATGGTGGATGGTGGATGGTGGATGGTGTGGAGTGGTGCTTGATCAAACTTGGATGGATTTGAATCAAGGTAGAGGTGGAAGTGGCCAAAGGTGGCCGAATGGTGCTGGCCGCAGATCAAGACATCCTGGCTGCGGTTCAAAGCCTCGTGGCCGCGGAAAAATGCTTGCTGGCCGCGGCTGAACCTAAGAAAGCTAAACAAAAGCAAATAAGTACCTAGATAGGTTGCCGCTTTGGTTTATAGTCCTTAGCTAGACTTTGCAAAGAAAAAGACTTACTTCAAATAACATCTTGTCCTAAGACAAGTTCTTTTCGAAATTCTTCTGTTATGTCTTGCAGGTTCTTCATCACTCCAGAGTTCTTCTGGTTCAAATGCTTGGGCTTTATGCTCTCCTCTTTTGCTCTTAAGAGGTGTAGCTTCATAGAAGATGTCTTTGTCGATATTTGGCAAAAGAAACTCTCCTGTTGGGCCAATCCATGATGGCTCCAGCAGTTGCTAAGAAAGGCCATCCAAGGATAACTGGATAAGAGTCATCTTTGGTCTTCACTATGTATAGATCGACAGGTGCA